GTGCCTAAATCTTCTGGATGGTTCTGGTTCTGTGGCAGAGAAGCACACTGGACCTGAGGAATGCAGTGTTAGTGAAGGAAAACAAGCAGGAAGTGCACTTATTTCTGTTGGTTTTACCTTTTTGTGGTCAGTCATTACCTAGGTGATGAGCCAGAGCAAAATGGACTGACTGGTAGTTACTCCAAATGAGCTGGCGAAGGGCTGTTTTTGTTAGCAGTTTCCTTCTATTTCCTGTTCCTGCCTCGGGCAATTCTAAGGAAGGATAAATAAGTGTCTGACAGTGGAGAGGATGAAAGAGTCCCATTTGCCTTTCCATCTCTGTGTTTTATCTTGGATGGAACGAGCACAAGTGTGGGTATGTGGTGTGTAAGGGTCAAGTGTACACCAGCCTAAGCTGTCTGTCACCTGTCCTCAGATATCAAAAGAACACCACAAATTTTGCTTGAGGCTGCTTTACACTTCAGCCCCTGGGATTTTTCAGCTACTGCTCCAGAAAGAAAATTGTGGAGTGCTAGGAAGTGGAGAGGAGGCTGGAGGGCAGGCTGGGAGGGCTGTGACGCACTGGTGAGACAGAACTTCTGCCACACATTCAGCTGCAAAAGTACTTAATGCATCATCACCTTTTGTTCTCTACAGCCTTAAATGCTGTGTGAGCATAGCTAAGTCTTAAGCCTGGGTGGAAGGCACTTCGTTAACATGCTTTGCAGCACAAGCATCAAAGAATCCTCATAAGAAAGGCTTAAACCTAACCAAAGGAAGCAAAGCCTGCTCACCTGGGTTTGAAAGCACTATCTCACCGAGGAGCAAGTGCTCCTGTGATAAATGTTGGCAATTTTGATTCCAAGTATTTGAGATCTTGGGATCCTGCGTTGCATTTTTGTGGCTTGTGAACTGATAGTTGAATAGAGTGCAGAAGTCCCAAGGAGTGTGTTAGAAAAAATAACAAGGCAGAGACCGCTGTAAAAGCTGAACTCCCAAATCACCTGTATAGAGCATCATTCCAAACTGATACAACAGCACAGGAGAATTAAAACTACTCTGTCTTGCAAGCAAATGAAAGAGGTATTTTCAGTGTGTCATGAGCAAGAAGCTGACTTCCAGAGAAATTTCAGTAGACACTTGCCTGTCACATACGTTGTTTGCCTATGTTTGGTAGTCTTGGATACGTTATGTATTATCTGTGTGTGTGTAAGCAAATCTTCTCTTCTGAGCAGGTCTGCATTGCTGGGAAGACATTGACAAGTTAAATTCTTTTCCCAAGCTCGAGGAGGTGAAATTGCTAGGAATCCCTTTGCTGCAGTCCTACACCACTGAGGAGCGCAGGAAGCTGCTAATAGCCAGGTGTGTTGTTTGGCTCTCCTGTGCAGACTTGTTACATGACAGTGAGTGGCTGGGAGCTGGTAATTGGAGGATGAGGCTGCCAGGAGATGGAGTTCTGTATGAATTCACTGCTCTGAAAGACTGGAGGTTTTGTTGTTGTTGTTTTTGTTTGTTAGTTTGTTTTTGCTACTTGGGAAAGAGAAGAATAGAAACCTGTATTCTTAACTTCTCTGCGTTCCCAAGAATGTTTTTAGTATGTTTTCAGCAATGCATGCATATGGTGAAATGGGAGTGTTCAGTTCTGAATGCACTTGGAAACTGCATGCCCTTTCTCCTGGGGGCAGCAGTCTCCTGATGGTAACATTATGGCATGTAGCTTTTGGGGGTGACTGCCTCGTTGGTGACCCTTGTTTGGGTTTCTTTTCTCGCTGACTGTACTTCTTGGTGTCTGCAAGCAGGTTGCCATCTATCATCAAGCTCAACGGGAGCATTGTTGGTGATGGGGAGCGAGAGGACTCGGAGCGATTCTTCATCCGATATTACATGGAGTTCCCAGAGGAGGAAGTCCCATTCAGGTATGGAGCCTTTGTCTTGGAATGGAGAACTGGGAGTGAAAAGGCAGTGAGGCCAAAGTGAAGGCAAACAAAGAGCTGATGTTACATGGGAAATCCGGGCTAGCTGGTCCGTGAAAAACAGCTCCTCACCTCTCTCCTGTCTTGCCACCTTCGTTCTGTGTGAGTGGATGCTGTTACATTAGAGTTTGTCTGATGACTTGTAGAATCACTGCTGAGTGAAATTTGGTCTTAAAGAGTCTGTGTCAAGTGCCATTAAACAACGTGACTGTTAAGTTCATGATCTTCATTGCTTCCTGGATTCCCAGAGCTGGCTTCATAATCTACCTGTGCCTGGGAGTCCCCAGAAGTCTGTTCAGATCGGGCTCTCTAGTGCCAGGCCAGGGCATCTAATTCTCTTGGCCATCTGGTGTGTGGGATGAGCCTGGCGATGGGAAGCTGTCCCCTCACTTTGGAGCTCACAAATGGCAAGTTTGATGGTTTTTCCTTGCCAAAAAGTATGCCCAATGACCTGTTAATCTTAGTAAACTAATGAACTTTGACAGATGTTGCTCAGTCTGTGTGTTCTCTACACTGGCATCTACTTACTGCTTCTTAATGGGCTGAGGAAGGATCGTGGAGTGCCCAGCCACTGCACTGATGTGCCTTGTAGCCCATGACTCTCATGAGCTTTCCCAACAGCAAAGCTTCAGAGCTCTTTCTTTACAGAAAAGAGGACAAGACTGGCTGTGTGTGAGAGCTGGATCAGAGGGCAGATAGAGGTAGGGACAAAGCAAGGAATTGAAATGTAAAGAGATGGCAGAGATGTGAACAGCATCTGGTAAGTGTTTACACTGGTCAGTCAGTGTTTCCCTTAGATTAACTTGCAGGTGAAACTGGCTCTTGTTTTTTGGAAGAGCTGTGTGTGTATGGCCTGCCAATACAGGAAGGACATGAGAAGGTTGGAATGGGGAATTGAGGGCACGATGGTTTGTACGAATGCTGATGAGTCCAGTGATGCTGGTATTTGCTAAAGGCATGCTGGGGTCAGTTCAGAGGCGAAGGGCAGCGGTGTAGTCGGGGAGATGAGACTGAGAACAAGTGCTGGCTTGTAATTTAAAGAACTCTCTAAGCAGAAAAATTGAAACAAATGTTAGAAGTGATAGCAGCACAAGCAGAAAATGCAGGGGAGAGGGAGGAGGAGGTGGAAGGGGACTGGAAACTCATGGTTCTGCTCCTGGAATGGATTTTTCTCAGTAACATCTTACTTCTGTGAAAACTGTTGTGGTTCTCAGTGTTCGTGGCTCCAGAAGGAAGGAAGAGCAGGGCGACCAGGTGCAATGGCAAACAGGCTCAGGGTGCCTGGGGAAGGGAGCTGGGGGAAGGCAAAGAAGGCCTTTGTGCTGGAAGTGGTTTTTCAGCTACAGACTGAAGAGGGAAGGTAAAGTTTGAGCAACCCTTTGGTTGTAGTGGAGCAGATGTGCTGCCCTGAGCTGAGAAGGAACGGTTTGGGCAGCAGAGGGAAGACAAATAGGTGGCGGGCTCTGATGTTGTTCCTGCTTGTTGTTCTGGATTTGTGTCTGCAGGCACTGCAGTGACAGGAGCCTTGTGTGTCTGGGAGCAATGTGCTGTGGAGGAGTTGGCTCGGTGAATAGTGCCAGGAACTCATGAAGCATATTCTGGCCATGTAAGAAGTTACTAATATCTCACCTGTCTGGTGAGGCTGGGCTTATCTTGAACAGCATGCTAACTGTATGCCACTGCAGTAAGACACTGCAGAAATCTGCCTTCAGTTCCTTAACCTTTAAACACCATTAGAGCCCTTTTCTCAGTCAATGGGCGCATTGTCTGAATCCCTTCATCTGTGCAGCGTATCCAAGAGACTTGTGCAGCCACTGAAGGGGGTTATTCTGTTCTGGAGGAGCTGATCTACTACAGTGTATTTTGTAATGAGGCTGCAGATGGCTGAGAGCATCCCTCATGCCTGGGTTCAGTTCCTGGACCTGAGCACAGCAGCCTTTGCAGCCCAGAGAGCTGCCGTTCTTTGCAGAAGGATTTTGTGTATGTGTTTTGTTGTTTTTTTTGTTGGAGCTTCCTCCCCTTTGCTCCAGATCTGCTGTGGTCTCTCTGAAGGTGATTTGTAATTAGAATCAAATCAGCACACATGCATGTTGTTGCAGGGGGTATAGCATCTGCATTGCAGTGCAGCCTCAAGTGGAGGGAGACAACAGCAATGCATGGAAAATGCACCAGTGCAAGCAGCCCCCCCTCCAGGCTGTCAAGGCACAGTGTGCAATAAACAAACAGTGAGTTCTGTCCCAGTAAAGCTCCCCGTTTGTGTTGCTGAAAAGATTGCAAAAGGAGTGAAATGGACAGAAATAATCTTTCTCTGTGGATGACGTGAGTTAGAAAGGAGTGCTGAGTGTACAATCCAATATTGGCTGGCTTCTGGAGTGACGTTGTTGTGTCTGTGGGTTTTTAATGAGTCCTCTGCTCTGGTCTGCTGTTTATCTGCAGAATATCAGAGGCACTTGTAGCCAGGCTCCTTTCTCCAGCATCCTCTGCTCTGGCAGCCAGCGCCTGCCAGGCTGCAAGGGGCGATTATGGGAGTCTTCAGGGTGCCAATTACCAGGGTACCAAAACACTCATTGTGCCTTTTTCCCTATCGATCAGAGGGGATCCAGTCTTCCAGACTCCCAACTTTCAGTACAGACTCCAGATAGTGTATGAGGAGCATGCTGCAAAGCTTGTTCTGCCTTCTCTTGAAGCAAGAAAATGAAAGGCAACGTTATATATTCACAACATGCATTTGGGTAATCCTAGCCCATTTGAGGTACTTCTCCCTCTCAGCCTGCTGGAGCTTTGTCCCTCTTATTGTACTGTGAGTACTCTGAGGCTGTGGACTCAGCACTGTGATGAGGATTTCCTTGCCCTCAGTGATACACGGTGTAGCACTTGTGCTTGCTGCAGGCATAGCCCAGCAGGTAAAGTATGGGGAGCACGTCGTCTCCTCCCGGCACTAATGGCTTTTCTAAAGCAGCCCGATGGTATCAGCCAGGTGATTGTGAGAGCAGGGCACCAGCCTGCATTTGGACACTCAGCCCTGGTGAAGGCCCATTTTGTCTGTGAGACAAGGGAAATCCTAGTGCCTGGAGGCCCTTGCCTCATTTCCCGACAGACAGAGGGGCTGCTGTTCTCCAGGAACGTTCCTGCCTTGAGCAGGACTCCCAGGGGTCAGCATCCTGCCAGGACCCGTCATCTCTTGACAGGAGCAGTGACACAGCACCGATCACATTCGGCCTGGGCTCAGATGGGGAACAAAAAGAGCTTTCTGTACAGCGCACAGTGGAGGGCCTCTGAAACGTTACCTTTTCTCTGCTTCTCTCAGCCTTTGTCATTTCAATTGCATTATGTGCTGTGCTGCCTTTTTGCCCCTTTCCCAGCCAGGCAAGGGAGGTGCTGCATTCCCAGCGGGAGCAATACCAGCTGAAGGTGGTGGGGGGGTGAGATGGGCTTTGCACTGCCTGCATGGTTCCCTGAGCTGGACCTCAGGTAGGAAGGCTAGAGAACCGAGGGGAAAGTGTCAGTGGGACTTGGGTCAGAGCCACTGCAGGTCTGCTAGCAAAACTCCTGTGTCACCAGAGTACACTTAAGAGATGGACTGGCAAGAAATGGAGCAGGAGGTGTAGAGTCTTTTGAGTGTATTATCCTCCCTTTCTTCCAAATCCACTGTAGTCACGGTGTTTCTGGAGCTGTAGGATCATGGCATAAAGCATTGCTGCTCAGTTGCCCTCATAGAGCTGTTTTGAGACCAGTCAGCCTGGATGTCTCGGGAGGGTTTATGTTGGTGCTACAGTATGTCTGGACACCGTGAGACAAAGGGACTGGAGTGATGGGCTTTCTGGGCTGTATTTGCATGTGTTCAGTGCTGTGCTAGAGAAATGGTGTGTGCTGTGTGAAGTGTCAGACTAGCAGAGCAGAAAGCAGACTCCTACCAATCCAGATTTATTCCTGATGGATGTCTGTTTAGGTTGTCTGACTCAAATCAAGGGTGAATTTGCCTCATATGAGAAAAACACAGCTCCCTGAAGTACCAGAGATGTGGTGAGAAATGGAGAAGGAAGCCTGAGTTGTTTCTGTAGTCGCTGCAGACGTTAAACTGTGCTTTGCAAACTAATAGTGTCCTTGGATGACTGCAACCAAAGTGAAACAACTTGTGAAGAGTACAGTGGCCATCTGAGGGACTGTACTGTAACTCTGGACTTGTTTTATCTGCAGGTACCACGAGCTGATCACCAAGTATGGGAAGCTGGAGCCCTTGGCAGTCGTGGATCTGCGGCCGCAGAGCAGTGTGAAGGTGGAGGTTCACTTCCAGGACAAAGTAGAAGAGATGTCAATCCGTCTCGATCAGACTGTGGCAGAACTGAAGAAGCACTTAAAAACTGTGGTGCAGCTGTCAACCAGCAACATGCTGCTCTTCTACTTGGACCAGGAAGCCCCCTTCGGCCCCGAGGAGATGAAGTACAGCTCACGAGCACTGCATTCCTACGGCATTCGGGATGGAGACAAAATCTATGTGGAGCCCAGGATGAAGTAGCCTCTCTTGACCTACACACCCCACACACCCACACACATGCATTTAAGGAGTTTTTGCAAGGTTTTTATTTCGGTTGGTTGGTTGAGGTTTGGTTGTGTTTCTATAGCAGGTAATGGCTTAGCCCGGAGCGAGTGCCCTGATGACAGAACCATGCCCACCACCCACTGCAGGTGACCTCGAGGTGACAGCTGACTTCAGTGCATGTGTTTCTGTGTGTGCAATACCCCCATGTTTTCTTTGATGCTCCGGTATACTCGTGATTTGGCATGAATGGTCAGTTTTTGAAGCTGAGAATGCTAGGGCCCGTAAGGGAGAAGATAGCTCGGTGTGGAATTTGACCTGTTTTTTTTTTTTTTCTTTCTCTAAAAAATGTGTGGTTTCTTTTGGCACCACCAGAGCACCCTAGCTATCCAACTGCAGTTTGAGCGAGCTTGGTTTTCCATCTGGGTGCTGTCTCGTAGCCTTTTGTCACACTCAAGCTCACTGAAAAGGTCTGAAATAATGTTCAGTTTGAATCAGAGCTCAGGTATTCAGCATTCAGTGCATCCACTTAGCTCCACTGGTTGGTGTGAGCGCACAAGATGAAGGAAAGACAGGGATGTTATAAGAAAGGATTTCTTTTAAAAACTCCTGCTTCTAGCCATGCTGTCCTATCATGAGTTTGGAGAAGATTTTGCTTTCTGTGTCCGTGTCACAGTGTCTGCAAGTTGTAGTACTGTACTGTCAGCCTGCAGGCAAAGCAAGCCTGGCCCTGTCGTTTGGGAAAGGAACTGTGGGTTGGCATTGTGTTGAGGGCTTTTAGGGTAGTGGGTCAGAAACGTGGTGAGGACTGTGTTCCTTCTTTGGCTAGGAAACATCCCTGCGATGCCGAAAGGTCTTCCAATGAGCACTTAACCTTGTACCGCTGTGTCCCGAAAGTGGAATGGCTGAAATTGCTCTCTTGGGAGGGAGCAAGACTCGAGTTGAAGTTTGTTTCTTGTTGTTGCACCAGAAATGAAACCTGGCACTTTCCCCGGGGACCCCTGGCTGCAGGGTCTCCATTTAGGGTCCAAACTAGCAGAATGTGTTGACTCGGATCAGTTTCTTAGACAGCAGGTCCAAAAGCACCTATACCCACTTGTATTGTAAAGCAGGTGTTCACTAGGTCCCCTTCCCCCCACATGCACCTTGTAGGCATTGTGTGCTGCTGCTTAAATTAGCCCCCCTTCTCTAACGCAGCGCAGATTCCTGTGCGATGAAACCCTCAGTCCTTTATATCTCTTGTAAATCAGACAGCCGTTTCGCTTTACTCTGTCCTCCCTTGTTCTTCTGTCATCCTGACAAGCTGAAGACTTTTCAAATTACCTTGTTATAAGCAACTGCATCAAAGTTTCTGAAGCTGTGCAGTGAGGGCTCTGGTTACACGTGAACTCCTGACCGTAATTTTGAAATGCTCCCTGTCCCCACGTGCACTTTTTTCCCGAGATGCTTTTGTCCACGCCACCAAGCTCCTTTATAGCCTTGGAGTTGTGTATTTCTCTTTATATTTTATCTAGATGGTGGGGTGGGGTAGGATGGGGAGGGGACAAAGTATTATCTCGTAATCTTCAGGTTCAGGTTTGTAGGGACCTTTGAGAGGGGATTAGTTCCGCATCCACAGTAAGGATTAAAAATGGGAGGACTTAAGACAAGGTAATTATTTCTGCCTCATCTCCCTGCCAAAACCATCCATCTCCTGGCACCATCGAGACGAGCAATAGTAAATGGAGCAGCAGTCACCATAGAGTAGAGTAGAGGCTACAGCCATAGTACCTGTAAAACATGAGATGGTGGCAGTGTACCATAAGATGATGCTTTTATAAGCTAGAGCTTTACTGAAGATGTATTTTCCATTTGGGCAGCGAAAGGCATTTTGCTGCCTTATAGCGGAACTCTTAAGCCAACACTTCTGTATGATATATACATAGATATGCATCGGAAAAGTTGTGTTTAATAAGATATTTTGTTATAAAACAAAGTTTTATGAAGATATGGTTGTTTAATATTAGAAGCCTATTTCTCCCTTTGACCTCCTGTTTAAGTACATCGTCCATCGGTCGCCGCGTTGTCCGAACTACGCAACCAATGCAGATGCAAAGGAATCTCTGATCTAATTCTACAGAGCAGTAATTGCCTACATGGATATATTTATGGCATTGTAACTGGTATTAGTGAGATGCTGTAATTACTGACCAGCTTGCTCAGCACAATTAAATGTCTCACTTGCAGAAAGGGAAATAAACAAAGTCCGTTAAAGAACTAAAGGGGATATTGAAGAAGACCCAGCAATGTGCTTGTAGGTTTGTTTCCCTGCTAAGAATTACCCTCATCCACACAGGGAGCAGTGCTGCTGCGCTGGCTGGGAACTGCCAGTAAATAATGGCTTCATTTATGGTGGAACTGGTGGGAACTGGAAGATGAACAAAGAGGATTGCTTGTTGCTTGTGATGTGGACACGCGCCGTGTATCACTGGGGATTTGGCATCAACACCCAAACTGGCTCCTCGGTATGAATGTGTGCCTTGCCATGTCGTTGGGGAGGGTTGTTCCTGGATGATGTTCCCAAACTGTTCAGGCAGCAGCAGAACGTGCATTGGGTGGAAACCAAAAGCATCGGTTGGCTTCCCAAGGAGAAAGAGCCACGTCCAAAAGCCAGGAGTGACTGACACATCTATGTGATAGACTTTGAAAAGTAGGATGAAGTGGCACGCAAACAATGCTCCAGGATGTCCCAAACTGGATTGCTTTCCTGTTGTAATACCTGCTGGGGAAGGGTTTTGTGTTTGGGCAATGTCAGTGCTTGCCAGGTGTCTTGGGGGGTCTGAGGGCTCTGAACAAGAGGGGTCTTGGGGCTGATGGTGGGCAGTGAGAGTGTCCTGAGGTGGCAGGAGGGTCCATGTCAGTCCATGCAATGCCACGAGGTGCTGCATCCCGGCTTTGTTGACATGCATCTGCTTTAGTGACAGATCCCCAGTTCTGCCCCATTCCTTCGAGAAAACAAAATACAGGCTTGCAAGCTTCTCTAGCTCTTGTGTTCTTTTCTGAGAGTGCTACTTTTGTCAAGAAAAATTTTGTTGTTCATGCATAAAAATCTGCCGTGGGCAGTCTGCACAGTGGAAGAAGCACCTGGTTCGTATGGAATTGGGTAACAGCTATATACCAAAGTTTTGCACGGCTCCGCGTGTTGAGACGAGATGCTGCGCCGTTGTTTTTTTTGGAGACGTCCTCATTGAATATCCATGCTGTGACCAGATGTTACAAGCGTTCTGCTTAGCCGGCGATGCTATGAATATGCATGGCGTGGTGGCTGTCCCCCCTCATTGCGATGTGCCACTGTGGTTCGTGGGGCTCCTACGCATCCTGGTGGCCGATGGCACCATGTGGTCCCCAGGGCTTGGGGCAGCTCAGGGTCTGTGCACGGTGCTCTTGGGATTGGCTCTTGGTTGGCCATCGCCTGCTGCGCTCTGCCATCGCTCCATCTCCGCCGCTTGCCTTTTCTGCTTGGAAATGAGATTCTGTAGGTGCTGTTCGTGTGCAGATTGGAAAATGCAAACGATGTGCTGAAAGCAGCCCGGAGGCTAAAATATGTATTCCTGGCAGCTGTGCCACCCTCAGTGCTCATGGAGCCTTTGTAGGCAGCGGGCAGACGCCGTCCCCAGAGCGGCACTGGGGCGGCTGCAGCCATCTCAGGCCTCCGCCGCTGTGATTGCTGTTCTGCACTTACTGGAAACTTCAAACATGATTTAAACATGAAGGTCTATTCTCGCACCCTATTAATTATGCATCCGTATGTAATTCTAAAGAAGAAGGGAAAACTGTAAGTCTATATCCGTTTTTATGCTGTTTTCTCTCATGGGGATTATACTTCGCGCGCCGACAATTTGCCTTTGGTTTGCTTGCAGACTTAGAGGTGGAATTCAGGCCACTTAGGTCATTGGTTTGGATCAATTCAATAAACCTATTTAAGTTTTTGCACAAAACAAAATGTGTCCTCAGCTTTGAACTTTGTTGTTTCCTGAAGCAAAATGTTTCCCTCCATCTCACCCACAACGTTCACCTTTGGGCAGAGTGCAGGGGCCAAGTCCATGGTGTCCTGGAGCAAACCTTTGCACAGGCTTTGTCCTTGGACTGGGCAGAGTTCTGCAAAAGGAGAACACAGCGAGGCCGTCTCGTCCTTCAGTACTTGCTTTTCTGGAAGCTGAACATGAGAAGAAAGTGTTATCTTGGAAATAAATAAAGAGTGGTTTGCTCTGCTCCGATGCGCCCAGCTCTGCAGGATGGGCGCATCCCCTGGCAAAAGAAAATAGCTTAGAAGAGAAAGTCTTCCCCAAAGAGGCAGTGAAACCTCATCAAACTTAATCAGTGTAGACTTGCCCTGTAGAACAGGACCAGAATATTAAACTGCAGGAGGAGCAGAGGGAAACATGTTTTCACCAGTTTTCTCTGTCTTACAAACAGGATGAGAAGAGTCAATTGATTTTTTTTTCCTCTGCTGCTAACTCTAGAAATGGGAGGGAAGGGAAGAGTCGGGGTGCATGGAGCTGCAGGATGAGAGTCTTCCATGGGAATATCAGAGCCTTAAAAGCCCCCTGCCCTCCTGAAGGCAGTGGGAGGGGGTCCAGCACTATCCTCCCTGTGTGCCCCGTCAGCTGTGCCCCTCATGAATCCTGGCTGCGTGGGGATACTGGTGCAAAGGCTCCCAACAGTCCCCTGCTGACATTCCCCCATCAATCCCAATAAAACCTAACTCTGTCCCTGCACAGCGAGTGGGAATGGGAGCACCAGGACATGGTCTCCAGCAGACACGGAGAAGTGTGTATTGCTGGGTAAGGTTTTCCTCTCCCACCTGTAACAGCAGAGGTAAGTCGAGATGCAGAAACTAGAACAAGTCTTGGATGGAAAAGTAACGCATTGAAGCCTTGGGGCGCTGCCTTTGAAAGGTGCTTTAAGCCTCGCACTGTTAATGCTAATCCTGTAACACTATATAGATGGCTTTTTTTCTGCACTTACACAAAGGAGGAAGGGGCTCAATTCTTTGAGGCTTGTATTTTTTTTTCCCTTCAGCAAAAAGCAATGCTGAGCAGAGCGGCTGTGGGCAGCTGACATCACAGCCGAACCCAGCGAGGGGCTGGGAAGGAAGGGGCTTCTCCCCATCTCTGGGCCCGAATCCGATCTCAGATTAGTGTGCTGTTATCAAGAGGCACCAGGATTGCAACCTTACACTCCTCCAGCCCCGAACCAGCATTGGAGAAATCACACTTTCAGTTGGGAGAGCACCAGGACGGGGACATTGCTGCACTCCTCTGCAAGAGTTGGCCAAGAGCACCGGCATGAGCTCTGCACTGACATAGGAGTGCTGTCCTACAAAACTGGGCTACAACTTGAGACCGCGTTGCTCCTGACGTCTGCAAAGCAGGTTGGTAATAATGTTTTTCTTATACCTGAAGAAATGCATTTGTGTATGCAGTGTGTTAAGTAACGTGTTCTGGATTTTCTGCTCCCAAGCAGTGCTGCTCTTGTGCTTGGGCTGCTGTACTGTTGTCTTCCCCATCGCTGCTAACAAACCCACAGCTGCTCTGATTTACAATAGCTGTAAAATCCCGTTGTCCTGCTTTCAGCTTTCCAAGATAGGGAATAAAGTAATGCTCTGCTCTGGTGGAACAAATTTTTCTCAACATGGGGTAAAGGGGATTTTGGCCAACACAGTTGACCACTGGAATGTGGAGGCACATCTGTGCCATTGCTCCTGGCAATGGGAGACAAACAGGAGCGGTGTGGGACAGGTGGTGACACATCCCCTGCTTGCTATAGAGCTGTGCTGTGCATGGCAGGTGTATGTGGGGATAATTAAAGTGGAGCTCTTGGAGCAATATAGAAATAAACCTATAGGGAGAGCATACAGAGACCTGTCATGGCCATTGGGTGCATGCAGTTGAAGTGCATGGGAATGTACAAAGAAGAGACAATCTGGAGGCTGCTGTAGAAGCTCAGGGTGTACTCAACGTAGAGGTGCAGTGCAAAGCTGTTTGCATGCTGCTGCTGCATGGTGCCTTCCTGCAAGCCCTGCTACGTGCAGAGAGCCAGAGAGACAGGCGAAGAAATCAAAGCAGGTGTTTTAGTGATATTTTCTATTGGATTAATAATGACTAACAAATTGCATTAGGCACGGAAGGAATTAGAGCTGGCAGAGGAGTTTGCTTTCCTGTTCCTAGCCTTGTATTTGCTTGTCTCTGTCATTGATTCTTGTTCAGCATGAAGTTGCCCAGCTGTGTAAGTGTTGGTGTCTCCAGTGCAAAGAGCTGAGTGACTGTGGAGAGGATCAGGCAGGAATTGCCTCTGAACAACAGGGTGAAACGGGGCAACACATTGCAGTGCTGCAGCTCCATGCAGTGACAGCTTGCTCTGCCAACACCTGCAGGGCCATTAACCATTAGCGATGGGAAGGGTTCAGTAGGCTTAACAAAGTAGGCAGTTTGGGTCTACTTGGGTGAGGGACCCTCTGCAGTGCTGGGATGGATCGCTTGGGATGCGCTTTCCTTTGGAAGTGATGCATGTTTGGATTTCTCTCTGCCCTGTAGGATGAACACGCGATCGTTGCTCAGCACCTGGGCAGCCCTGCTGGTGGTAACTGTGCGGCACCAAGGTCAGTACTGCTCCCCTGTGCCCCAAAACTGCCCCAAAAAACATCCCCTTTCCCTTGGTCAGAGTGTAACAGCAAACAGTGTTTCCGTGGGTCTGGAGGGGTGGGAGCACAGGCGCTAATTGTGCGGTGGTGACAGAGTGCACTGTGGCAATGAACCTCCTGCCCGCACAAATGGCTCCCTCATTGGGAGCAGTGAAGCAAGGATAGTTCAGGTTAAATGAGGAGCTGCTGTGCTGCTGGGAATATGAAGTTGGCAAAGCTGATAGGTACAGCAATCCCAGCAGCTCTGCAGAGCTCTAAGTGCGTAACCTAAGTGAGCGTGCATAGTGCATACATCTGAGTGCACACACAGAGATGGCTGT